CTTTGTGATTATGATATCCAACAATTGTTTATCAGATACAAGGAATCTGAATTAGTGAATCCTAATGTTAGGGATTCGATAATTCTTGATAGTCTTTGATCTTGATTTGGAGAATGCTTGACTCAATTTGACGGAATTCAAAGTCAGTTAATTGGAGCCGTTGAAGTTAGTTTTGATTTGACATAGGTAAATGAAAGTGGAGGTATTGATCCGAGAAAGGGGGTTTATTTTAGAATAATTTAAAGAGGTGGAATTGAAATAATAAATTGGCTAAATTTAGTTGAATAGATTTTCTTTTGACTTGAAATTCAATAATATTGGGGTATTTGGAAAATTCGGATTTGGCAAGGAATTGAGTCCAATAATATGGATCCAAAACAAGTAGGAGGTGGAAGACTCAAATTCATTAGACCACACAAAGTAATCATAGCTGGTCAATATTTGGCTACAGAAAGTGAGGGGACATGACATGTCAGACCAATCGGATGTGGACACGTGGTATTTTACCTCGGTATACGAATGACGTCTCTCGGAGGAAGAGTCGTGCGGACGAGAGGACAACAGGGCCCTCGGAGTTGTGACGTCACTCGGGGTAACGTGACGTCACTCGGAAAATTATTATGGCAATGTCCCCTTCGGAAAACAATGACACTCGGGCATACGTGACGTCACTCAGGAAACCATTCGGGGATATGACGTCATTTGACCACAAGTGATGTCATTCGGCAAGCTTGGCACGCCGAGGGAGCATTGGGAATGTCTACTTGATAACGAATGAGGATCCGTACCTAGTTCTCATCAAGCGTGGGTTCATTATCCTATATTGTCAAAGCAGACATGATGACATACTACAACCAATCATGGAGAGGTCTTTAATACTAGTACAATTAGTGATAAATGCTCTTTATGAACATGCTACAAATAATTAATGCACAGAGAGGAATAAAGTCGAAGCATTTATCCCTCAGCGTGCCAGGTGGTGCCGAGTATTTAAGACCCCAAGAAAGGGTCTCATGCATTGTGATTTGCAATTAATAATCGGCATGATATCAGACACCAGAGAGTTAATATCATCAATGCGCATCTTGCGAAACGCGCATAGAAAGATCAGGAATCAAGGTCAAATGAGGAATTCGGCTCAATACCTTGACAAGGCTAGCAAGACATCCTTGTTGTCTCAGAGGATAGCCAATCAGGGAGCCTCCCGCCAAGGAGAATGGTACGAGGTTTCCTCGAAGGAGATGCCCATCTTCCAGGAAGGTATAAATAACCCTCTTTAGTCAAACAGAAGAGGTATGCTCAAAAATCCAACCCTAGCACTGAATATTGTCTTATTTTCTCTTCAGAAAACTGATTCAAGCATCGGAAGGGAATCGTTGGAGACATCTCCGACTTCCCTTCTAACTTTTTTTCTATGAGCCTCAGGTCTGACATCGCCCTCATACATCCAGGTTACTCTCGAGTATTGATCAGAGTGTTTTTATCTCACTATTGTACATGAAATCATGTGCACAAATTCTATACCAAATTTGTCTGAAAATAGTGTAGAGAGGTGAAATAAGAGAAAGTGAAGGAAACTGGAAATAACCAACAATCGAAAAACCTAAAAATTTCAAAAACTTGATTTTCTGGGGTTCCTTAATCATGAGTTTTAATTCAAAGGAGGGTCATTCTTAAGGTCTTTGGGGTCAAGGAACTCAATAATTGGTGTTGCAAAACTTGAAAGAAGATGATGAATAATGAATTTTGATTCTAGCACATACTCCTATTTTCAAAGGCTTTCTAACAACCTTGAGTTTGCCTAATTCCGACCTCGTTTGGATATAGTTCCAATTTTGGTTGTTTTACACAATTTCGGACTAATTTAGATGCCTTACATCTTAGTTTTCTAACTCAAACTTTATTTTGAGTTTAAATAGAGTCTAAATACTTAATTAAACAATGAATTCTATTATATCATGTATTTGATTCTTTGACACAATTTGGTGCCGAAATTGATAAACCGATATGATTTGTCGGTAGGTTTTCTATATTTTGAGATGAGCTTGTTTTTTTTGTATCGATTATAGTTTTGCTATTATCTTTGTGTTACGTTATGCTTTATTTCTAGTCTAAAGGTATTGGTGTGCTATCGCGGACAACCAAAAATAAAGCCTATACTCCTAAAAATACATGTAGTATTGTGAGCAAGGATCGTTCCTACGGAGAGTATCTAGCCTAGTTTTAATGCTATGTGAACAAGGATAGAGGGGGTTCGGTTTAACGAAAATAATTTTAAGAAAAACAACTAAGGAACAATTCAAATTAAAGTATTGAAATCAATCAAAAGAACAAACCTTGGTCTAAGTCAACATCCACCATTGGAATTTTACAACTGATCATCGATGTATGTTTATATCGATTTACTATCTGAATATTCACCGTTGAAACTATCTTCCTATCTCTCTTTAGTCACAATTAATTAGAAAATAAGCGATCTAATTAACCTAAAGTACTAAACAACCCCAGACAAGTACTAAATGTTTAATCTAGTAGTAGCCTTAAGAATTAGAAAGATCAAATGAAACTAAACAACACAAGCACAAGCGGTTGCATTTAATTTAGTCGAGCGTTCTTTATAAGACCTAATAATTTCTTACGCAACAAATCATTTAATCTTAGTTGCTTCAAAAATTAGAGTGATCAAACAATTACAGATTTGATATCTAACCTAACAGTAGATTGCAACTAATAATAAACTAGTAGGCCTCCTAGTAATTAAATGAGTACAACAGAACATCCGATACTCAAATCATAAATTGAACAATAAAAACAAATTAGATCTCACAGTTTTATTGATTTGGAGGCTTCCGTTTCCTTCGACCAAGTATCAATGTTTAGCTATGCAGGGCCTTCATGAAAACTGGAAGGAAGGGTTAGAGATGAAGGGGGTATAGCAGCGTGTGAAGTCTGCTGATTTTTTTTCTTCCATCTCCCTTTTACCCCGTTCATCCCCTTTTCCCTACAAAACCTCTCCAAGTCTGACTCTTTAGGAAAATATTAAAACTAAAATAAAGTCCCAATATAACTAGGAAAGTGGTGTTATCCTCTAGAATTTTTGTGCCCCAGGTTTTTAAGCTCCCAAAAATAAACCGGTATTAGAATTGTGGGCTTAGTAACATTCCAAAACGTTCAAGCCTGATTTTGACCTTGATGCAGCCAATATCTCTCAAAACTCAAAACCTGAAAGTTGTAGAGCTTTTTTTTGGCGTTCCATAGCATCTTTAATCATCTCAATCGGAGCTCGGATGAGAGAGTTATGCCTAGATTACGAAGTGATGTCGAAACTGTCCAAAATTGTCCAATTAGCTTCGTTTTGCATTTAACGCCTCCATTTGCATCCTAAATCAAAATATAAGAATTATGAGTACATTTAGACACCAAATAAGAATAAAAGGCTAATTATTAAAAGTGAAAAATATGACATTTTGTATTCTAATCAGGTATTTTAGTACTTTGCATATATAAAACTAATTGTTTCCAACCACATAGAGGTACTAATGGCACAAGAGGTAGAGGACTAATGTGTATCTTTTAAACCTTGGATTCATAATCGTGTCTCCAGTCCATTTAAGTTGATTCATTATGATATTTGGGGTCCATTAAATAATATTCCATCCAATAAATTTTCGTATTTTGTGACATTTGAGGATGATTATTCTCATATGACATGGTTATTTTTGATGAAAACTCGTTTTGAAATGCTTTCCATATTCCAAACATTTTGTAAAGAAATCAATACTCAATTTGGTTGTCGAATTCGTATTTTGCGGTCCAACAGTGCTAGAGAATACGGTTCTGACACCCTTTCCTCTTATCTTCGTGATAAAGATATTGTTCATCAAACTTTTGTGTTCATATACACCGCAACAAAATGGGTTGCATAACGTAAAAATTGTCATTTGTTGGATATAACTTGAGCATCACCGCAACAAAATGGGGTTGTAGAACATAAAAATTGTCATTTGTTGGATATAACTTGAGCACTTCTATTTCAGATGCATGTTTCCAAACGTTTTTGGAGTAATAGTGTTCTTACTGTTTGCCATCTCATCAACCATATGCATTTATCTGTTTAAGATGAGCAATCTCCCCATTCAGTTCAATTTCTTCTCTTCCTAGTATGTAATTTGCCTTTTGGTCAGCCCAGGGAAGTTCTTCTTCTATGCAATCATTAGGTCAAATTATTCATGGATCATTAGTCATATGGTGTATCACATTTGAATCAAACACTTGAGCAGAGTGAGAAATACCTTAAGGAGCAGATAAGACATTAAGTGTTTGTTTGCCGGGTAGGATATCTTGGTATTGGCAAATGCTATCCATACCAAAGCAATCCAAAGGGAGATTAGTACCCGTTTTAAATTCAAATCCAATACTATCTCTTGTTTTTGTGAGTATCAATTGATTAAGTGGGACCTACCACAAAAAGTAAATGTCAGGTGACTATTTGCAAGCACAAAGACAGTTTTATCCTTATTCCATTCCAATCCATAGCATTGTTTGTTGAAAGAGCACTGAATACAATGTGTGCCAATTACCTTATAATTCATTCCCTTGTCTACACACAACCCATTGTATTTTTCGATCTTTCACCCTTCAAGCCAACCAACTATGCAGCATGGTAAACGTCTATGACATGGCAAGACTTACTTACTACACAGCATGGAGGAACACTATCCAACATTACCCAAAAAATGATAAAGACTTGGGTGTTGCATTCACTATATTCATACAAAAATACTTCAACCACAAAAACACCCAAAGCATGGGGGCTATACATATTAAATTTCATGTCACCGTCCTACCATATTACAAAACATGGGGCTTGTACATGTTCACCCATGCACAAGCACAGAAGAGTTAAATTCACAAAATATTGGCTTGTGGGAACATTCCAAAGCAGGGCAGCCTAATACAGTACATTAATATAAATAATTCATAAAACTTTCAGACATAGGTTAATCGTCGATGACGATATACTCTTTCTTGATATTGAATGGGCCTAGGGAGGAGTTAACACTCGTGGAAATGTCACTGGAATTGTCGGATGGTGGGTCAAATATCTCCTTCAAAGTGTCAAATAGAGGGCATGGCTTTGTGTAGTACTCTGTTTTCTGCAAGTATAGCAAGTATCCACACATAAACATGAATAACTACGTAGCATGACAATGTTAATTCAACCATATTTTTAAACCAAAAAAGAAGTATAGCAAATAACACATACCTTCAAATATATATCACCACCATGGAAAGGACCATCGACCACTTGCTTCAAATTGTCATCCCATGCAAACTTCCATGTCTTCAGTATTGCAACTATGGTAAGTCACTGTTTCTCCCAGAATCAAAACTATGATGCGAGTTCCCTCAGTTTCAACCTAAACGTTGGCATCCTCATCTTCAATAGGTTCAACAATTTCTAAAAAAACTTCTTAGAGTAATGATCTGGTAGTTGCATTTTTCCCCGACCTCTATATTCTACCAAGGTATCAAGGAGAACCTCAAACTCATCCTCACTTAATTGAACTTTGGACATTTCTAACTATAATAACTACAAAACATTACAACATTAGCTACACTTAACATATCCTGTTTGCAAAATAGCAAAGTAGAGAGTATGGGTGAATACCATACCCAAAGTAAAAATCACGACATACATTAGGCAGTTAGCAACATTACAGGTGTTTCCCTTCATTTTCCTTGACATGTATAGGTGCTGCTATAGCCATTTCATCTTCAAGAATTTGATTATCCAATGGTAGATCCAGCTGGACAGTTACCTGGCAAACATGATTTACTTTTGTGGTAGGTCCAACTTAATCCGTTAATACTTAATACTCACACAAACAAGAGGTAGTATTGGATTTGTATTTAAAACTGGTACTAATCTCCCTTTGGATTGCTTTGGTATGGATGGGATTTGCCAATACCAAGATATGCTATCCGGCAAAAAACACACACCTGCAATTGATATGTAGAAAGAAATTTTGTACTTGCTCGATAATTGAACTCAAAAAAAGGGCAGATGGGAACTGATCGTCCATAGATGCTATATCCCTTGAATTTTCACTTTTCATAATTTGAAATTTTTAAAAATTACTGGAAAAATCTGTAATTTTGGAAACTTCTGGGGTTGAATATTAAACATTTTGAAATTATGGGACTGAATCTGTAATTTCAGAAACTACTAGGGCTGAATCTGAAATTTCTGTAACTTTTGGGACTTTTAGGGGTGAATCTGTAGTTTCAGAAACTTTAAATAACCCAAACCCAACAGCGGTCACATGTTTGACCAACAAACAAAACTCTAGTTGCCACTTTACTTTCACGCATTCTTCATGAACTGTTCATAAATTGTTCGTGCTACAGTGATTGTAACTAAAATGTTAGCTTCTACGCAGTTGTTGTGGCAGCAACACACTGCACAAAAAGCGGCCACACACAACAGAACAAATAGAAACACAGTAATGGAGGATTGTGACAATCCAAGTTGACGACAATTTTCTCCAATCCAAATCGACAAGAAGGATCTTAGATTCAACACCAAATCCTAACCCTTCAAAGGAAAATCAAACAGAACAGGGAGAGAGATTGGCGTTAAGGGAGAAAAATTATTAAACCTTGCTCTGATATCATGTTAGAATATCTAACCTAAAATCAATTGGCAATGGGTGGAGTAGTTGTTCAAGTATATGAACTAATTTTGGGTAGTTATAATAATTCAATGTGGGATACAAACTTTCTTAACACGGTCAATCGAAAGTATTGTGACTAGTTTTCAAATGTTGTGTTTAGTGGAGAGGATAAATCTACTTTGCAGTTCTGCCATAATTCTGGCTGTGGGGATGCCCCCTTTAGAGGGAGCTTTCATACCTATTGCCGCATATAGAGAGGCCGGTATTGCTGCATATGTTGGGTTGTTTGAAAATGGAGTATTGTGCGAACTTATTTTATGATAGATTTTCAGCAATGGAGCAAGGCCAATGAGGGCTAGTTTGGGATACCATATGGTGCTTCTCTTTGTCGGGGTATAGAATGTTCTGCAGTAGAAAACCTATTCATTGGGGAAATTTTGGATGAATTTTGTTGTTAAGCTACTGATAGCCTGCATTCCCTTGGAAATGCATGTGCCTAACAACTCCGAAAACTATGTTCACTCTTTACAATCCTCTGTGAAGAGAAACAAGGGCTTCCAAACTGGTGTTGTTTTAAGTGCAAACGGTGAGAAGACTGCCTATCACCTACTGGTACATTGTGCAGTTGGAAGAGAATCTGGTGGTTGCAGTCTGTCCCTTTTTCGTACGTTATGGGTATGCTGGGCTTAATGATGGATTTTATTTGTGATTGATGAGGGGGCTGAGTGAAGAATGACAATCAGGCAGGCTTGCACAGCAGTGCTCTTATTCCGAGTCCTGCTTGGAAGGAACAGATGCAATTTGAGGTGGAAATCTTGGTGCGTGATATCGAAGAATTGATACTTCCCACGCGCAGTTTGAATGCCCGGTATTTTCCTCAAGAAATGCAGATCATAGCTGATGTCTGATTTAATGTGAATATTTTTGCAGCTTCAGAATCTGGACCAATCTCTGTCAGCATTTGTATAATAAACCTAAGAATGGATTTTTACCGTGGGTAATTTATGCACCTTGTTGATAAATTTTTCTAAGTTTTGGATTAGTTGAAATTCAGAATGAAAAGTTTCCAATGTTTGTATTTTAGGGTATCAAGAGAATATTCTATTGTAGCCAAGGACTTCTATAATGTGTTAATTTCATTATTACTCTTCCATCTTTCAATGTTCATTCTAACTTTTTCTCTTTTGGATTATGTGTTTAATGGACTCTTTCTGGTTTAGTTTTGGCGTATCATGTCATTATTATGCCAGATCGTTACCTTGCCTGGCTAAATTATTAGAACTGATAAAGAATTATGTTTTGTATGCTAATGGCATTTTTAAAGTGGACCCTTGAACAGTGGAGAACTTTTCCTTGAGTAATTACAGTTAGCTTGCAAAAGATTTGGTAGTGGCAAGAATTTGGACTTTCTTATCTGAAACTTTTTTTGCAGCTGAACGGGTGGAATCTGCCCTTCAGAGCTTAAGACGGGAGTTCAGTAACCAGCATGTGTGGGTACCTCCATGACTTTCTAATATTTGTTTTTTGTAAAAGATAATTATTGCAGACACACTTTCTCTATGCTCCGTCACTAACTTTTAATAGTTGAATTTGTGTAAACAAAAGCTCAAAGAAAGAAAACAGAAACAAAGATCAAAGAAAGAGTTGAAATAGTAAAAGGATAGAGGGAGGAAAGAGAAGGAGAAACAAAGGAAAGAGAGAATAATCAGTTGTGTAGGCTATGTTGTCCTATAATTATAACTGAGTAATATTTAAGGTAATTACAATTTTACCTTACACTAATTAACTTATGTCTAATATAGAATATAAGAACTCTAACAATCCTCAAGCCATAGCATAAAGATAAAAAATGTTTAGGTTGGAACATAAACTACTGAAGATAGACCGAGCTAATAGTTTGGTAAGAACGTCACCCAATTGATCACCAGACTTGATATATGGATTAATGATCTCCATTCACATCAAGCAACCTTGAATGAAATGGTAATCCACGTTAATGAGTTTGGTATGTTCATGAAATATTGGATTACTTGCAATTAAAGTAGTTGTTGGGTTGTCATAATATCTTTGTAGGGGAAGACAAATCAATCTCATATCACAAAGTAAAGAACGACCCATAACATCTCACAAGTGCAACCACGTTTCTACATCTTATTGCGCCAAGTAAAAAGATTACCACCAACAAACACACAAACCACAAGTAGATCGTTTATCATTATGACTATCTGCCTAGTCAGCATTAGAAAAATAACAGTTATGGATGATGATGGATGATATAATAATCCTTTCTCTCCATCCCTTTTTAAGCATCAAAGTATATAGCAAACAACCTCCCAAAGAGGTTGTTGAGGTGCATGCAATAATGCTCTTTATCATCAAAAACTTCACCGCTCTTAGGATCTAACTTAATTGTAAGATCTAAAGGCATATCAATCAGACGCACACCAAGAGTACCAATTTCAAATAATAAGTCCAATACGTACTTTCGTTGGCACAAATTGATACCCATATTTGATTGGACCCCCAATCCCTAGGAAATACTGAAGAAAGTCCAAATTTTTGGTGTGAAACTACTTCCCCAAATAGATGTCGAAGTGGGCAATACCATCTGAGTTATTGCCACTGATGATGATGTCATTGACATGCACAATAACAATAATAATGCATGCAAAAGATCGATGAATGTAAATTGAATGATTTATAGAGCGTTGAAAGCCAAATTGAACTATGACAATACTAAACTTATCAAACAAAACACGTGGTAATTGTTTCAAGTCATAGTGCTTTCTTCAAATGACACACTAATTGTTCATCGCCAGAAATAACATAATTTGGAGGTTGAATCATATATACATTCTCCTATAAATCTTCGTGTAAGAAAATATTCTTTATGTCCAATTGATACAAAGAGAAGTCACAATTAACTGTAACAGAGATAAGAACTTTGACAAAGTTAAGACGAGCAACATTAGAGAAGGTCTCATAGTAATCCACACCATATGTTTGGGTGTAGCCATTAATAACCAATCATGTCTTCAAACGCTCAACAACCTCATCAGGATGATATTTTACGGTGTAAATCCTGGGACATCTAATAGGCTACTTACCAAAAGGAGGAGTGAGGTCGCAAGTGTGATTTTGATGAAGTGCCTTAATTTTCTCATCGACAACCAGTTTCCATCGAGAAGATGTTAATGCTTGTTTTAAAGAGTTAGAAACAAATACAGAAGACAAGACCAATGCAAAGTAACAAAAGGATAAGAAAATTCTATGCAAAGAGGCAAAAATAGAAATAAAGTGTCAGGTACAAGTACGAGTACCTTTCTGTAAGCAATAGGCAAATCAGAGGAGGGTGATATAGTAGATTACCCCAGGAGGAAGGACCTTATCAAAATCAGGTGTTGGCTGAGGAGCTAGAGAATATGAAACAACCTATCTATCCATGAAACGACGATAAACTATCAATGAAGGGTCAGGAACCTGAGAGGGAGAAGATAAACCATCTGGCACATGAGGCAGTTAGAGCTCCCCTTGAGTAGTAGAGTTTAAATCTGGGGAAATGATATTACTCGAAACAGAAAAAAACAAGATGACTCAAAAAACTAACATCAACACTAACATAATATTGTTGAAATTATGGGAGTATCCTAGAAAGATACACTTAATTAAGCGTGGGGAAAGTTTATTCGATCCGGACCTAGAAAATAAAAAAATGCGACACAGCTAAAGGCACGAAGAGTTAGATCAAAGGTTGATGTATTAGGATAAAGTAATGCGAACGAATATTTATTACTTAAGATGGAGGAGGGCATCTGATTAATAAGATAAGCTATAGTGAGAACAACCCAATAAAACTTTGGTACATGTATGTTAAATATAAGAGTACAACAACATCCAATAA